TTATCCAAGAGTTGTATGAGGAGTTCCAGGGTGCTCTTAGATTATAGATCGATAGACGGGACACAGTCTGAAAAAAGTAAAAAGCTTTAATAAGCTGAAGTGATAATGACTTGACCACGTCGTTTGAAATTCAGTAACCAACGGAAAACGAAGGCTCTTATGTGATGATCTCATAAATTGACTCAGAATTTCAATCTTACCTTAAATATCATAATGACGCTTGAAGATCGTTTTTAACTGCATTAGTTGGGTTAACCTATGTTAACTATGTATTCAGACTATGAATTGCTGAAACATGTGAAAATGGCGACTTTATTATATAATAAAGGTTTCGTCGGACACTCCCGAACTTTATTGTTACAGTGTTACAGATTTCTAAGAAATTCATTGCAAAAATACCAAAGTACAATGTAGACCGTGTAAAAAATTCTAGCTAGAACTGCCTGCGTTCCGCGCATCGCTATGTCCGCCAAACTCGCGGGGCTTAGGAACAGGGTTGCCACATAATAAAAATTGCATTTTAGGCTAATAAAATCCAAAGTTACAAGTATTAGTGATAAAATATCATTGCAAGTTTGCAATGTATTAACAGTCTTTTGAATATTTTAAATAGGTGTATTGACCTATATTTTAATTGTGGTTCTGTCTATTTTGACTAAATGTAATTAGAAAATTTAATTTAAGTTTTTCATTTTCTTATTCAAACAAAGTCAACTTGCCTGTTGACATTTTAGCATACTCCGTCTTAATATCCTTATTATATTAATTATTATAAGAAGTAAAGAAAACTATAACTTTTCACTTTACTTTCTTTTTCACATTGAACATTTCAAAATTTCCGAGGTCGTCAACAGTTTGTAATGGCATTACACCAACACGAAATTTTTTGACATAATATATTTTATTGGTGCAATCCAATCAAATACCGGTCAGTCTACACATCACCAGTCACCTGGCAACCCTGTAGAGGGCCACTGTGGCTCGTAATAGGCCCTGGCGCCCGTCTGCTCATCGTTTTATCCCTTTTTTGGCTTCGATCGTTTTGTTTTGTTCATCGCTTGTTGATTTTGGGAATTAGCATGTCTTATTAGCATAACTGTCTGATAAGACGTGATTGCTGTTTTAACAGCTTTCCGCGGGGTATGTTAAGGTGAAATAGATGGACTCCTTTATTTAAATAGTTTGAAACCTACTTTAAATTGTATTCTAATATATTGCTACAGCACATCTCATTAAAATTCGTAGGCAATCCCCTTTAAAAAGTTTTTACATGCAGCATGTTAAATTTTTTTTTAAGTGTGTTTATTGAATTATATATGTAAATATTTTCATTATTATTAGTATGATGAAACAGGAATTCTTAGATTTAAAAATATGTAAATTAATATTTAGAAACATACCTACATTTAGGGTTAAATCTCGAAATGCAAAATTTTGTTCGGACTTCTTATCAACTCCATACCCAATGAAGATACGAATAAATCACTCGAATATTCATCGAATACAATGCTCGACTTCGCAAACGGACCATGTTTTGGATAAAATATGCGTCTGCGGTCCGGTCACCGAATTGGTAATATTGTTAACAGGGAGTAAAATCACTACACAGGAAACCAAAACGAGAATTATGCATCATCTCGAGAATTTCTCAATAAGATGTGTTGTGTGGGGTCGACGCGGGCGCCGCCCCGCGGCGAACCGGTGGCGCCTCTATCGATTATACTGCCCTCTCTATCTTCTATAGAGGCGCGTCCTTGTCGAACACGCGCGGGTGGCTGCCGCCGCGCATCATTGCCGGCCGCGCGGCCACCTCACGCGGCCTGCGCAGACGCACAGCACACCGACACCGCGATCCCTTTCCTATAAGGATTTTCGTTTAAATACAGACCTCGCAGGCTATATCATTAATCTATTACGAGCGTCGTAAGGTGGGCTCGTGTATGTGCGGTAATTCTCGTTTTTTCATCGTCTCGAATAGAATTTGTTGTCGGCCCGCGGTGAAAGGTAACGATGGTATGAGAACGATATTCGGTTTTATGGCGGTTAATTAGCGTTGATCTTTTGCTCTGTCGGCGTCTCGTCGCCGCAGCGGCCTACCCATATACGTCATCAGTTTGCCTTTATTAGCTAGTAACTCTGGACAGAGTCGTAGATACCTCAACTAGATGTCATGTTAAGTCCTGAATTAGTCTGCAAAAAAGGCGTACGATGAAGCGATCTGATGAAGGGTCACGAATAATTTCGCATTATTTTGTTGCGTCGTGTCCATATTTAGAATATCTGAATTGGGGTCCGATTTTATGGGAGTTTCGGTCCGCCCTCCGGCGTCGTCGAGGCGTGCCGGCCGCGCAGGCGCCGCGCCTGGCCATTCATATTTTGTACAATTACTGGTCTCTAATTACAGCTCTCCAGCAGACCACGTCCTGTAGCGATCTGGCTGATTAAGTCTTCGACGTGTTATTTCATCTTGAGTAATTGTACGTTCCGTTCAGCGTAGAACAAGTAATATTTGTCAACTATTCACGTTGGAACGCTTTCGACAATGGGTGGCTGCAAACTAGGTGGTTTCAGAGAAAATTACGGAATTTATGGCAAGCCTGTGGTTTCACTGGTCTAGAGCGCTGTAAGTGGGTATTACGACGGGAGTGCGGCGGGCAATCTCCCATAAATACTGCTTACCGAGTTGTAAATTAAATTCTGATGTCGTAGCATTAAGTTAGAACGTCTCTAAGACTAAGGGGAGTGGAGCTGGCCCTGTTTTTCAATTTCTTGTGATGGAATGTCTCGGCGTACGGAACAGTGAATATCAGTAATTAAATTTAAATGTAATGTAAACGCCGTGCTCAATTTATATGAATAAGTCTATGCAATCTTTGATAGTTGATAGATAATCAATTACGATAATAAGACAGTCAGGAGTCACTAACTATAGAATAGAAGCAAATTTATTTTAAAATATTTCAGAAACGTAAGGAACTACAATATATCTACTTATATAAGTATACAAAAAATACAAATCACGAATTAAAATATTAATATAAAATATTCAAATAAAAATATTTTTTTCTTACAATTTTGATTTGTTTTCCGGCACAAAATTAATTTCGAATTCAATACTTGCAACACAAAGTCGAATACGGTGGAATATTGACATTAATTGAGGAAATGACGCGTGAAAATCCGTAAATAACTTTCACACACACACACACACATGAGATCCTGATTGTGTAATAATTGTCAATTATTTGAAATTCTCAACTCAACGATATTTTTGAATGGTGAATCTGAAATTATTTTATCTATCGTTTATCCAATAATTTACAAATTTTGCATTGCTTTTATATTCCCATTTTTATAATTTACATGGCACGTAAATAGTGGCATATGAAGTAACAATTGTAAAAATAAACAAAAATATTATATATAAATATTGTGCCAATTTAACTATTATTTAACGGATTTTTTTTTTCGTATTTTTCTGATAATCCTTGTGTTTTCCACATTTTTTTTAAATACAGTACAATGAACGGATCCAAAATAAAAACATCTCGATTTAAACGTTAAAATTCAGTTACATATTAAATAAGACAGCGACTTATAAATCTAATAAAACATAATAAAAAATATATATATTAATTATAGAAGACCAAGCATAAGTATAGTTACGTTCGATAACTAGATCTGACTATGAGGATGTTTTAGGACAGCTGTATTATATAAGATTTATATCGATCATTGATGATTTACATGTAATATCATGCAGCCCACTTCCCTCCCCCCAGCTACATAGATCAGTTTATTAGAAACAGAAACTGCAAATATGTGAGTCATAAACGTAACTCTATATAATATCTGTATAATTGTATTTTTTACGAACAAATTATTATTACTATATCTCTCATATACTCATAATATAATTATTTAATTCATAATATCAAGAGTCAGGACCTTAACTACAGCTAATTTAATGTTTTTCAATCCTCTTATGTGTTCACATTTGAAATAAAAAATCAATTTAAATTTACCAAGTGTCTACAAATCCCACAAGCTCTACATTTCTGACATATAACCATAAAACACGAGAATACTCAAACAAAACTTAATGACAGCAATACTAAAACGCTACGTGTACGATAAATCAAAAGGTTGCAAGTCTCGTCGAAACGTTAAAACTTGGGACCAAAGCGACCCGAGCGTTATTAAAGTAATTTAGCACTCTCTGAGTCTGGCTGCTCTGTCGACTCTGTTTGTTTTACAGGCGAGAACTTTGCTCAACCTATTATTATGGTCTCGTTATACTTTTTGCTGGTCAGGAGTGGACAACACTCGGTTCATCAACTACATTCTCTTTGAAATATTATACACTTTTGTTGCATAGAACTTTAAAATTTAGTATTTTCATTTTAAATGTTATTTGTATTTTCTTTTCCTATACTAATGTATTCTTTATTGCTTATAGTATGTTTTAATTTAATATATTTGCTAATATCTGCTTAATCTTGATTTTGGCATTTTTATGTTCTATATTTTAACAATGTTGCTATTACTTTTTACGAATGTGCTTCTAAGTGCTTATTTTATGAAGATTTATATAAGAATATAATACAAGCAACAATAGATTATTTTTTGAATAGGTTTTATTTAAATTTTAATTAAACTTGAACCAAATGTTGACGAACAATGTAACCAACATTAACTCATACCAAGCCGGAGGCGCGAGCGCAGAACTCGTAAAAACGTGTTATTATTATTAATAATCTCACTCATTCAACTAACTTGCATATTCAGTATCAATAAAATTTTCACAATTCTTATTAGAATGCTATAATAACAGTAATAAAAAATCATATAGTTAGTAATAGATAAAGACAGCACTTTGTCAGCTCCACATTCGAGAATAATCGCAAATACGAGTACAAGCTCAATATAAATGTTTCAGCCAATATCAGGCGTAACATTCCAGTATTCTTTACTAAAGTACGTTTTTCTCTCCTTCGTAGGAGCTCATCTATAGCCAAAGTCAACGGATGTTGTCAAAGTTGCTGTGGCCCAACCCAGCCCCTAGTGCACCCAGAGATCCCAACTCTGATCATTTGGTTAGTAGACTTTTATTTTTATTTTATTTTTTTTTTTAATCAAAAGGAAAGTGCACAAATTTACGATACGTTAAGACAAAAGCATTTAATTCATACAGCTCAAATTGATACAACCTATTTTAGATAGTCGTTTCTGTAATGTGAATTATTAATAACAAATAGGTAAATTAAAATGGACTTATTATTTAGTTAGATACTTGTTATAAAAAATCCTCCAATTTTCGCGACATAAAATGCAAAGGAACTTAATTCATACAGCCCAAATCGACAACAATCAAATATAGATAGCCAAATAATTCGATCTAACTGTATGAATTATTAATAACGAACAAGGAAATTAAAAATAATAGAAATGGTGTAACCGTCAAAACACGTCTTTTTCCGGCTACGCCCCTAACTAGCCTCGAGTCAAGAATTGTGGTACAACTTTTTCGATGACCAAAAAAATTGATGGTCCAAATCATAGCGGCAGATGTTAATGATTCTATTATTTATGATCGAGCCTCGTCTATTATACTTTTTTTTTTTTATTTTACTGCCTACCTACTGGATACGTCCGTAAACGAAAGGTTACTCAGCCGTATAATTTTCTTTGGAGGGTAACAATGTGGGTACAAACACTGTATTGTTGATATTTAAAAAAAAATGTGGAGGGTATTTTTGAAGTATTGTAAAATTGAAAAGTATAATCTTACGTTACATTTCAATATAATATCACATTCTTCAAGTATTTATTTATTTATTTATGTAAACATCTTTTATTTATATTTTTTACTATGCAATGGTCATATATTTTTGTAAAAAAAAATAAACAGATATTACTGGGCATACAACACAGATTAAGCACAGCTTTCAAGTATATATAGATACTACAATAGTATTTAAATACTTGTAACCTACTGTTACTTGTAATATATCGTTCTTGTTACCTATAAACAATAAAAAAAGGCTTAGAATTAGAAAATACGAACACATAGGTATCATCATGAAAATCTATACTCGCATAAAACAAAAAGATTTGCATTGTGCGAGGTCAATCTTGCAGTTTTCAATTAACAACGTATAAATATACAATTTTCAAAAATAGTAGTCAATATTACAATGTATATACATATATTACAAAAAAAAAACTTTAGTTTTTTTTACAGGTAAATTGTTATTGTTATAATTATTGTTAATTACATTCATGAACTCACAAAAAAAAGTGAAAAATGTTCCGTTGTAAAATTCAATAATTTTGATTTATTAATCAAAAATTAATTATTTTAACATACATATTAATGAAGCAAAGTCAAAAGTAATTAACATGACACGAATCGCTGGTTCCTTTGCTCTACCTAATATAAAAATTAAAAAGTTTCTAATTCGTAGTGTTGCAGTGGTGTTGCACTAATTAATTTCGGGAGTGTTAATCTTTTAATTGGGTAATAATTAATATTTTCTAATGCATATATTATTGTTTATGCTGAACAAATTTCGGTTAGTAGAGTAACCTAAAATTAATTTAAAATGAAGTGTTTAACAGACAAAATAATAAAATTATTCATTACTAAATTTTATCAGAAGACAAAGGAGCTTCTTTGTTTTGTTTTTAAAATTATTTTTTAATATTCACTTAGCTCGTATCTCTATATATTGAATTAATATATTTCTCTTTACAACTTGAAGTCTTTAGTTTGTGAGTTAAAAATCAACCTCTGATAAACAAAACCCTTAAACAGGACACGATATACAAATTCTTTATTTAGACTTTAACTATGTAGTTCATAGTTTTATTAGCAGACCGACTACATTATGCCATACCAGGACCACTGCTCATATCCAATGCTTACTAGTTCAAATCTCGTCCATTTAAAATTTTTTCAATGACAAAATTACTATTAAATTATCTTGGTATATTATCCATTTGCAATTAATAAATTTCCCAGTGTCTAAAGAAAAAAATAGTAGACAGAAATTATTTAAAAAGGCTTACAGGTTTCAGGTTAATATAACCATTAATTTCCCCAAGAAGCATGAGGTGTAAATATGATTTTTTTTTTAAACTTTCATACTGATTACATCACTTAGTCACAGGGTTTATTTATAAAATGATAATTAACTAAAGAACCAATGAATTCCATTTCCAGCACTCGTGTTTCTTTTTTTTTTCTGCTGTGAAGCAGTTGTGAAGCATATCGAAACACAGCAATACAAAATGTCTGTGTTTCGATTTGAGGCGTAGGATATGGCATTAAAATTACTAGGTACAGAGGTTAAACCCCTAAGTCCTTAAGAATGGTAACACATGGGGGCGACACAGTATACTCTGTGATGTCCAAGGGGCTGGCTGTTCATGTCTATAAGTGACTGTTACCACTTTCCATCAACTGGCCCGTCATTTCGTTTGCCATTCTGAGTTGCATAAAAAAATAATGAGAAAATGAAATTCGGAATTCAGCCTGTGACTTTAGCAATAAATTTATCCAAATATAGCCACTACGAAGCACTAACTACTAGTAAAGCCTTCTTAATGAAGCAAACATACACGTATTTTTCAATCACAGAATAACTCTAATACTTATCGACTCAAAAATATGCGCCTAATGATTCCCACCGTACGATCCGACATTATTAAATCTCAATTTCAAATCGGTCAAGGCACTAAACCTGATCAGCCTTAGGCGCCAACCATCAACGAAGGTGTCTGTTCCCTAATTATATGGAAGAAAAACACCTTACAAACTCAAATATTTGTTAACTGACACCATCAAACGAATTGACACCTAATTGCTTTACATGTAGGATCATTTTTCAAATGTGCGCCAATGAAGCTCGTTATAGATGATGTATTAGAAATGGACTTTTGGTGAATTGGCGTAAAAAAGAGCTTAATTGCAATATGATTAGGGGTTTGTTCTTGACAAAACTAACAGGCGTTTGTTGTTAATTAAGGTAATAAATAGTTATATTGTCGTTGGCAGCTGACGCTGTAGTCGGACTGATGGCGCGTCTGTTTGTTTAGCTAGTTCTATTTTGACATGTGTACCGGATAGATACAATTATAAAGGACAGCTCGTTTATGAGATAGATGTTGTTCGGAATCGTTTAAACAACTGCTTTGTTATTTATTTTATATCGTACATATACACAGTAGATGAGAACGAGTATTTTCTAATAATATCAGTATAACGTACATATATTACAGTACATATATACAGATTTTTTTTTAATGGATGATAATGGAATGGTTACCTCACCCGCGCTATCGGTATACACCGGCGGGGCACCAGTGAAGGATGATAGGTGAGGATGAAGCAGGTCAGTTAGCTCATCGTGACGAATTCAACAAGAATTGTTCACGATGGTTTCCAGGGGAACCACGTGGAGGTCGACCTAATAAGGCATATTGCTAGCAATGGGGCCGTCAAACTCCATTGCTAACAATTCCTTTCCCCCCTCTCATATATACAGATTGGTGTTCCATTCTATGCCGAGACCAAATATGTACTGTGTATTCATTCCATCTCTTCCTTAGCCGTGGGTGTTGTAAAAGGGAACTAAGAGAAATTAATGGTCGAGGGATGTCATCTTATAACATCACCAAATCCTAACTATAGTTGCCAATCCAACATGGGATGTGGGGGATATGGGGGAGGCTTATGTTCAGCAGTGGACAGTTAACGGCTGATTGTGATGATCAAGATGACAGTGCTTTTTATTTATTTGCCATATTTATAAAAGAGGAGAACTCGTTCTTTTGTGAATAATTCTATTATGTTACCTATGTGATATTTATTTTGATGATTCTATTTTTATGGCTGTTTTCTCATTGTATTTAAAAAAACATGAAAAGTCGAGGTTACCGTAAAAGGAAATTTATTCAAGTACAATTTATTTTTTTACTTTTTTTTACAAAGATTACGTTGTAATTTAGTAACTAAATTAGTCTGAAGATTTAGTTTACTATGTAACTAAATAATAATGTAACATGAACTAAAAAGTACAAGGAGTACATAACAACTAAGTAAGTATAATACCTACCTTTGAACGTAAGCTCATCAATCACTCAGTCAATCAATTACTCGTCTCCCTCCCCAACTCATATCGATGATAACCCATGGGATTTGCTGAATTTCACCCTACGCATTATGTTTTTTTATTCCCTTTTTTCGTGTTAAAAAAAAAAGTATTTACATAGATTTTGTATATTATTAATGGCATTAAAATGGTATGTATCTAGCCCATATAATTGAATTTTTAGCCAATTTTAAAAAAGAGATTCTTAATTCAAAAGAGGAATTCTATTCTATGCCGGTCTTTTTCTCCGTCCGTCCGAAATTCTATTATATGTAGGTCCCGGCATAGAATAAGCCACCCCTTCCTTTCCCGAGGGTGACGTAAGAGGCGACTAAGAGAAGGCGAGGGATAGGCAGCAGCGTCCCTCTTGAAACATCTCTAAAGCCTAACTGTAGTTGCTAAACCACCTGCCAAGCGTGGCAACTATTGACTAAACCCCTAAATAGAGAGGTTTATGTTCAGCAGTGGATAAAGGCTGATATGATGATGATGATGATGAAAGAGGCTTGTAATGCTACATTGTCAGCGAGCAACAGGTTTTTTTTTGTATTTAAAAAAACCTAATGAAGACGGGTGGTTTGCTAATATATGTAATTTGTAATTATTTGTAATTAAAATTGTATATTTTTTTTTTTAAGTTTAATTCGCCTGCATTTTTATCGTTGTAGGCAACATAGCCATCGTCGTACTTACATATTATATTTACGTGTAGTATAAGTATGATACTGCAATTATATGTTTTTAGGGTTCTGTACTAGATGGTACAAAGGAACCCTTATGGTGTAAATTTGTTTAGTTATACAATGCATTATTATTTACTATAATGTACACATTTCCAACATTATTATTAATTCAGAAACTCGTTTATTAAATGATCAGATTATTTAGAGTATTAAACTAATCACAATATGTTTTTTCAAATTAACTATCATAGACGAAGC